CTAAGTTGACATTACACAAGAATTGAACCATAATATCAATTTTGATATTTATTCTAAACATGAAAATAGAAAACAAAAGGAATTTGCAATTAAATGTAAATTTGGCTTACAATCAAGTATTTATTAAGCACTCACTCCAGCCAGGGCAGCTAGGTGGCACCATAGTGCATAGAATGCTGGGCCTGGAGTCTGGAAGACTCATCTTCCTGAGTTCAAATCTGACTTCGGATATTTACTATCTGGGTGACCCCGGGCGAGCCATTTAACTCTATCTCAGCTCCTCATCTAGAAAATGAGCTGGAAAAGGAAATGGCAAACCACTCCAATATCTCTGACAAGAAAACCTAAATGGGGTCAGAAAGAGTTGGATGTGACTCAGCAACAAGAATGAAATGCTCTAGGCACCATGCTTAGCACTGAGAATATAAGAAAGGCAAAAAAAAAAAAAATAGGACGGTGTCTTACCTAAATTCTGAATCTCTCTCAGGTTATATTTTCCAAGGCAAGATCCTTGTCTCACTCACCATTGCTTTTCTTTTCTCAAATCCTGTATCCAGGATTTGCCCTCAAGGAACTCACAGACTAATGGGGTAGAAAACATTCAAACAATTAGAGAGCAGTGTATGAGTATGAGTTGGTACTACATACCAACAAGATATTTACAGGGTAAGGTGGAGATAACCTCAGAAGAAGCTCACTAAGATTAAGGAGGGATAGATAGGAAAGGCTTCTTATAGAAGGTAGGACTATACATGAAGGAAGCCTGGGAAGCCCATGCATGGGGAACATACAGTGCAAATACTCAGAGTTGGGACATGGAGTGTTATGTGGGAGAGCAGCAAGGAGGGCAGAGAGTACATAGGAGCGAATAAGGTGTAAGGTGACTGGAAAAATAGGGAGAATCTAGAAAAACCTGCAAAGACTTACATGAACTGATGCAAAGTGAAATGAACAGAACCAGGAGAACAGTAACTGCAATACTGTATGTTGATCAATTGTGAATGACTTAGCTATTCTCAGCAATATAACGATCCAAGACAATTCTGAAGGATTTATAATGAAAAATGTTCTCCATCTCCAAAGAACTGATGGAGTCTGAATGCAGATCGAACCATAATTTTTCTTTACTTTCTTTTTCTTGTATTTTTATCTGTTTTCTTTCACAACATGACTAACATGGAAATACGGTTTGTGTGACTGCATATATATAACCTATATCAAATTGCTTGCTTTCTCAATGGGAGGGGAGGGAACGAAGGGAGAGAATTTGGAACTCTAAAATTTTTAATAATTAATGTTAAAAACAGTTTTTACATTAATTGGGGGGAAATATTAATTTTTTTTAAAAAGACAAAAGAAAAGAGGATCCAGCTTTTAGAGGGTATTAAAAGCCAGAGGATTTTATATTTATCCTGGAGGCAAAGAGGGAACCACTGGAATTGATTTAACAAAGGCATGCCTTGGTCTGATTATGCTTTAAGATCAATTTGATAACTGAGTGGAGGATGGACTGGAGTAGGGAGAGACTTGGAGCAGGGCCTTATTGGAAAACCACAATGACAGAATTTCAAGGTTGGAATGAATGTCACTGACCATCTAGTTCAATCTACAACTGATAAAGAATCCCCATTGCAATATGCTGATGAAGTAATCCTGATAAGTAATCATCCAAGTTTCTCCTTGAAGACCTCCCAAGATGGGAGACTCACTATCTACAAAGGTGACCCATTACATGTCTGGATAGCTCTAACAGTTAGAAAGTTTCGCCCAAAATCAAGCCTAAATTTGTTTTTTGTCAACTTCTATTCATTACTACCAGTTTTGCTTTCCAGAGACAAACAGGACTAAATCTTCTTTCACAGGACAGCCCTTCTAATACTTGAAGACAGGTATAATGTCTTCCTCATTTTTTCTCACAGAAGCCCTATCTTAGCAGAACTGCATGTTAAGCAAATAATTCGGTAAGCCATTTCCCCTGGAATCATTCTAGTTCCCACAATGGTGGTTGGGATCCTCCAACATGCACATTCTATTCATGATGCTGTCAAAACCAAGAATCACAAGCTCTCATTAATATGGAACATAACCGCTGATTTCATCAGTAAAATAAACTATGGATCAACAGGCAATTTACTTCTATGTCCTTGATCAGTACAAAGCCAGTGTCACATAATATAGCTGAAGTAGCTTTTTTTTTTGTAGCACTGAAGGCTTGCAAATCATATTGTACCTATTCTCATTTGATCCCTACAACCTCATTATCTCCATTTTATACAAGAGGAAACAGATTCAGAGTGATTAAGCAATCTGCTCTGGATCACACAGCTACTGTTTGAGACAAGATTTGAACTTGATTCATTATTGCCACTGCTGTGTACAGTATAACCTCAAATATACAATTCTTATACAAACAGGAATACTGAAGACAGTTATTGAAAATAGCATGTAACATTATTAATCAATTCACTCTATGAAAACAAAATGGCAGGAACAGTCTTCAACAATACAGCAGACAGTTTCCAAAATGGGAAGGGAGTAGAACTTACTTCTTATAAAGGGCAAAAGCATAGCAAAGTGTATGGATCTGTATATCATTACACTAGCAGTTTTTTATAAACTCAGCAACAGAGAAATTTTATGAAGAATTTTATACAGCCCTCCCAGTTAAAGAAATATTTAATAGTCTGTGAGTTCAATACAAAAATTGAGTATAGGAGTTAAAAAAATATGGTATATGGCTCAGAAGAAATGAAAAAGGCCCAAGTCCAACAGGCTACACAGAATCCTCAAGCCTACATATCATGAATTTTTTCTTCAAGGAGAATTGAGAACCCCTGAACATAACTAACACATTAAAAACGAAATTGATTATGTCTTATTGGAAGTAGCTAGTTACTGATGTGGGATTAATTTACAAATTGGCTGTTTAAAGAGAAATGATGTAGAGAGATTGCTAAAAGATTCAATTTAGCCTGTGAACATTAGAGGATGAAACTGGGAGGACAAAAATTGAAAAGATTTGTCAAGATTGCTATAAAAATTTTTTTCACCATCGTTGACCATGGAGTCAATGTGTTTGTACTCTGACGTGACAGTCTCCCAATGTGCTGCATGACGAAGTAGAAATGACCCTAAAGACTGAAACAGTTGAACAGGGTAAATATATACAGAGAAGATCCATACAGGAGATGACAACTTTGAGGGCACTGAAGTAGCCAAACACTTGAAAAGAAAAAGAAAATCTTGGACACTATTACTACCAAGAAAGGGTACCTTCAAGCCTACCTTTTATCTTTACAAAAGCTGTAAGAATAACACAGCTGACAAGGGCATCGTTGAGGAAAGTATAACAAGGGAAGTAGTCTTTCACACACATACATACACACACACACACATTCTATTGCAGAGCACATCTGTATAGTCGGACAATTCACTAAAAGGTATTGAGAATATAAGATTTTACTGAGACTACAAAAACGCATTTGACCTGGTAGAGCAAAATGCCACTTCAAAGATTTTCAACAGGTTATCTCCCAAGCATATGTGAAACTCATACAAGATTTCTTCAAAAAATGTTAAGGGTTAAGGGATGAACCACTAACTACCATGTTAAGGCATGACATAAGGAGATGTATACTTCCCAAAGAATTCTGGCATTGTCATGAAGGCTGTCCAACAGATTCCAAATAGAAGAGGGAGTCTTTATATATGATAAGGTCTTTAAAATGCTCCTAATTGGGAATAACATGTTGATTGCATCAAGCCCCAGAACACTACAAAGTTTCCTAAGTGAGATCTCTAATGATTAATGAAAATTAATGAAAAAGGAGATAGTATCCATTATCCTATAATATTTAGTGCATTGGACAACCCACAGTACTGCTGTGTGTATACAGGTGTGTACACAGACACATGCATATGTGACTACATAGCCATGTATATACAAATATACATGGACATATATGCATATTATAAACACTGGAAATTGACGATAGATAGGGCCCAGAAGCAAAAAGGATGAAGCAAAGGAGCTAAGATTACTTTTAAGAAATTGCAGTGCTTTTGCTGACTGCAAATTTCTTCCTTAAAACAAAAATCTATCTTTTTATTTTTTAATCACATTGTCATTATATGACAATAGAAACTCCACTCTTATTACAAACAAGGAGTCTCAGGTTAAGTGTTTGTCCAATGTCACATAAGTAGTGTCAGAGACAGGATTAGGACACAGATCCTCTACCTCCAAAACCAGTGCTCTTTTCACTGCACCTTGCTGTTATCTCACTTATCCATTGAGGTTTGGCTGACCATCTTGTCTCTTCATCATGGTAAGACATATCCTTTCCTCGGTGTCAAGAAAGCCAAGGCTTTTACCTTTGCCAAGAACAAAACTATTCAAAAGGCTAATGGCAAACCTTTTACTATATTGGTATGAATCATAACAGTATGATTCAAAAGCTCCACTGGTCATCATACACAAATTACCACTATCAAATTTGTCTTTATATGTTGTTGTTGTTGTTAAGTCATTTTTCAGTCATGTTTGACTTCTCATGACCCCACATGGGTTTTCTGGGCAGAGATGCTGGAGTGATTTGTCATTTGCTTCTCCAATGGATTAAGGCAGAAGTTAACTGATTTGCCCAGAGTCACACAGCTAGTGAGTGTCTGAAATTACATTTGAACTCAGGTCTTCCTGACTCAAGCACTCTATCCACTGAGCCACCCAACGGCCTCTTCATAGTGAGTAGCAAATTACAACTTTATTTGAAGACAGTACTAGGAAAATCACAATGTTTTGTTTTTAAGCAATTTGCTTTTAAGTCATATGCAACAATGTAGGGAAAAGCATTAAAATGACAACCATAGAAAAAATTAATTTTATTCACTAGTTTTATCACTTTCTTCTTTTATATGAAATGTCACCAATAATAAAAATTAAGAAATTGAAGTTTTACTGCCTTTTTCTCTTCCTTCCACAAAATGACTAGAACAGGGAATAAAAAAAATTTAATTCATAAATTTTATTAACAAATCTTCAATATAAAGTAACAAACTATAGTGGTAAGTGGGAGCCCACAAAGTCTGCATGAAAAGTATGCCTTTGTCTTGTATTTTAATATAAAAACTTCCTGAGCTAATGTTTTATTCTTGCTACAATATTCAACTCAGCATTTTTTAAATCACTTGACTATCTCCAAAACAGTGGAAAATAGCACAACACCTACCATCAAGGAACTGAAAAATACAGTCTGTTTGTGGAGGAGGGAGAGAAAGAGTTCAGAAACACATATTTTCATATTTAAATTTCAAGGATCTATTTCATCCATAGGAATACACAGCACAGCCCTCCTACCCTTAGATTATTTGATGAGCTGCTGGGGGAAGGAGGGAGTCACCACTGGGTGCTCAACTCTAGTGATGAGATGAGCCTCTCTAACCCTAAAAAGTTTGTCTTCTGATATATAGTATTATATCCCAAATCTTTCCTTATTATATTTTAAAAGGAACTTGGCTTACATGATCTCCAACAAAGTACCTTCCAGATCTTAACACTACAAATCATTTGACCTACCTGAGCTTTCCCTCTTCTGGGAAACCCAAGGTTATTTATTACCATGAGGGATTAAAGGAAGAATACGGTTTAAGTACATTTTAATACTTTACCTTATACTTACAGATGGTTTTAGTTTTCAAGCCTATCTACTCTTCACACTTTCTATACTCTGTCCTGTATTATTTAAGTATGTCTTGTCTACCAGTCTCTAAGTACTTTGATAGTGTATTATAAGAATATCAATATTGTACTACAGGCTCAAATGTGACAAAAACAGTTTTATTTAATTTAAAATTATTCTATATCCAAGGCATTTCTAGCTTGGCAAGAAAAGGGGTCCAAATAGCAATAATCCCCCCATGTCCTCCAGTATGAATCTACCTCCAAGACAATTTTAGGTAACATCTCTAGGAATCCAGGGGAAGAAAACCACAATTATGTATAATAGTTTGGGTTAACATCCTGAAACAGTTACCATCCCATTCCTCCTTGCCCATTCTCCCTCAGCAATCAATAGGTTTCTCCCTTGAGATCTAGTTCAAGAACCTAAATTGAATAGGTGTGAGAATGTCTCCCTTTCAATGGAAGAAGGCATTTCCCTTGGGTGAGTCCTAAGGCCCATCACTTAAGAGTGGAGAAAGTGAAGAGCTTATCCAGACAAAATATTAAGTTTAGTTACCACCATTAATCTTTTTCCCAAAAAAACTCTTGAGTTTTCCTTCCATCCATCTTCCCAAAGGGAAAAGTCTGGAGTTTTTGGCAGGTAAAATATTACTTGTTAATATTTCTAGAGAAACTAAAAAGGCTTTTAATATGTAAAACATTGCCCAACATTTCCTGAATTAAAATAGCTCATCTACTTGAGAAGGCAGCTCACTGAAGTGGTAAGTACTGTTAATATTTTGTTTGAGATTTTCTACTCTGAAGTACTTTGTATCAAGAGAACTGGGTACAAATTTTGATTCTAACACTTACTAGTTATAACTAAGACTAAAAAGTCACTAACTTTCTGAGCTTTACCTCTCTAATAGGGTTATTGTGAGGAAAACCATTTGCAAACCTTAAAGTCCCAGATAAAATATGAACTACTAGTACTATTTTTCTATCCTTTCTCATCTCTACAAGGCAGATATCAACTATTTTCTCCAAACTGAAAAAAATGATTCAGAATCATTCAAAAGGCTAATAGGAAAGTGATTATTTGGATCTTAGTATCCTCCTCTTATCCTTAGATTTAAAGGTTAATGTGCCAGCAGATACCTAGGATACAATACAGGAAATTTTAACAGCATCAGTCTTTACTTTGGAGTAGCCCACAGCAGTAACTAGGAATTAGGATGTAACACCCACTCCTCAAACTTCAGGCTGCTTTTTGCTATCAGTCTCCTAGGCTTGAATGAAGTTTTACCGCCAGTACTCAATTCAAAACTGTTCTTGATGTTCACTTAACCAAATTTCCTTGTATAAAATTGAGTGGGGAACGACAGAATCAAACCTCCACAGAATGAATGCCAGTAGCCCTGAGGATGTCCTTGAAAAGTACTTTACAATATTCAGAGCAATACAAAGTTAAGTGCTACTTTCTCTATTATTTCATAGTCCAAGGATTACCTTTATTTCAAGGCCGAAAGAAGATAAGCACTCAGTCACAAAGGAAGTTTTCAGTTTTGACTTAAACAACAAACTACTTGAATTATACCAAGCAATTCAATATAATCTCTATTTTATGAGGCATACAACAGTCAGTGTGCCACTTAATTTTTTTCTACCAGAAGTCCGAATTTTTTCAATTGGATGCACTTAAATTCCACCAGTTACAAAACACCTCAAATTGGAACCTTAATTAAGTGCTTAAAGGCAAAAGAATAAACACAGTAAAATCCCCAGGGAAACCATTAATCGTTGGGACAACTGTTTGGGAACAGTTATATTGATTTATTTCACCAATTAAGCTATGTTCAACTCTTTCCTGAACAAGTTGACTGCTTTAGCAATCTTCAATTCTCTTTAACACAGTAGGAGAGTATATATTCAGAGACTAACACTTAACCTACTCCCACCCTTACTTGACCACATAAAGCAGTTCTAAAGGATTCACTCTAAAAATAAAGGCTGAAAAAAAAATAAAAATAAAGGTTGCCTTAATACTATGAACTTTTGAAAAACAAAATCATTTACTTATGAAAGAAAAAAAATCATCTTCCAATCTCCCTTCTCTCACAATTATTCACACTATGAATACTTCCTTGAGGCAATTTTGAAATCCACAACTGAAAGATGCATTTTTTGACTATCATCTATTTCAGACAAATGAACTACACAACTCAATACTGTGGAAATGTTGGATCTACTTTTGTGGCCCATGCCATGAGGCCTCCCACAATATCTCTGGCCAACAATGAGTCCAATTCTTTGATTGACAAGCTCTGCAGGACCTTCACCGCCTTTTGAGAATCATTCCCCAGCTTGCAAATCACGTAGATAGGGAAAAGCGTCCCTTTCTGGATAGTCTGCTTCCCTTTCCTAACGGCGTCCCCTAAGAGTCGCAGGCTCTCTGCATCCCTCCGCTCCAAGCGGCTCAAAGGGATGTGGAGGGCGTGCGGCAGACAACAGATGTCCACCTCCACCTTCGGCCGCACATCCAGCAGCAGGTGGGGCTCCCCGGCGTCCAACACCTGCTTGTAGTGGGCGGCAGAGACCCGCTCCTCCTGAGAGAGCAGCTGCAGACTCCGGCACTTATCCGTAGCCGAGGAGCCGCAGAACGCTTCATAGTCCTGCAGACGGGTCACCGTGGGCTGGTCCCCACAGGCCACACAGTCTGACCGACGGCCCCGAAGCCGGATGCAGCGGAACTGACCGCCGAGGGCATCGAAGAGCAAAAGGCTGCCGCTATAGGAGGGCCCGAGGCCGGCCGCGATCTTGATTACCTCGAGCGCCTGCAGGCAGCCGAGCACCCCGGGCACCACGCCCAGGACGCCCCCGTCCGCGCAGTTGGTCACCGACTCACCGGGGGGCGGCGTAGGGAAGACACAACGGTAGCAGGGCCCGCCTTCGTAGTGATAGACAGTGAGCTGGCCCTCCAGACGCAGCGCGCTGGCCGAGACCAGAGGCCGGCCAGCCAGCACGCACGCGTCGCTAACCAGGTAGCGAGTGGGCACGTTGTCCGAGCAGTCGGCCACCACGTCGTAGCGGCGGACGAGATCCAGCGCAGTGGCCGGGGTGAGGGCTTCGGCATACGGAACGCACTGCACGGCCGAGTTGAGCCGCCCGATGGCGGCGGCGGCGGAGTGCGCCTTGGCGTGGCCCTCTCGCGCTTCGCCGTGCAGGACCTGCCGGTGCAGGTTACTCAGCTCCACCACATCGTGATCTACGAGGCCCAGGCGGCCCACGCCGGCAGCCGCCAGATACTGGGCCAAGGGGCAGCCAAGGCCCCCGCAGCCCACCACCAGCACCGACGAGGTGGCCAGGCGCAGCTGCCCGCGCACCCCCAGCTCTGGTAGGACTAGCTGTCGGCTATAACGAAGAATCTCCTCCCGGGACAGGGCAGCCTTCGGTGGCAGCGGCGCCGGCTCACGCGCGTGCCGTGAGAATGGCTTCGCCGTCGCTTCCTCTAGGCGCTGTCTGAGGAGCCTTAGCTCCTCTTCAAGCAAAGCAACTTCAGCTTGCAAAGCGAGCACGTCTTCGCTCGCCGCCATGCTGTTCCTGCCTGGCAGTTGCCTCCGGACATGCTTCCGCTTTCGTCTCCTAGCGACTGGTCCAGACCAAATATGGAGGGGAGGGTAGTAGAATGTGGAGATAGATCGGTGTTTATGACAGCCTAGTCATTTTCCCTAACTTGTGAACAGCTAGCATCCTAGTGAAAAATAATTTTCAAAGGGGTGGTGAGAAGAACAGGAGGACAAAGCCAAAGTTGGCCCTTTTAAGCCTTCCTCTCTTTGGAATATTCCTTCCCAACTACACCCCTCCGCCCCCATCTCGCGCTCTTCTTTACGTAATTCCGATTCCGGTAGATTGCAGTTCCGCCATGGCCTCCCACAGCGACATCCCGAACCGTGCAGGGTCCCAGCGAAGAAGAGCGAAGGAGGCTGAGGCGGAGGCTGCAGGAGCGGAGAAGTACTCGGTGCTTCTCCCCACCTACAATGAACGAGAGAACTTGCCTCTCATCGTGTGGTTGTTGGTGAAGAGCTTCGAAGAAAGGTACCGCCCCGGGCCCCCCCTCGGGAGGGATGAGCTGGCCGTCCCCCCGCGACTCCAGCCTGTCTTTGCCACCTACCCCCTTTCCCGCTTCCTCCAAGGCTTTCTCGAGAAAGCGTTTTCTTTGAGGGCTGACTAGGGGATCGCGAACGATAATGGCGGCTTCCTCCCTGGGGGACTCGTTCTGGGCGTCTCTCCCAGGGACTTTCGCCGCGGCATTGGAACCTCCTCCCGTCCTTTCTCCGCTCTCTGCGGCTCGGCGTGGCCTCTTAGATGGCCTGTGGGGAAGAGCCAGGCCTGAGGCTGGCCTTCTTTTCTCCCTAGACGCCTGAGACTGAAGAATGATTTAAACAGCCTGTCACTGGGGAAAGAGATGGATTAGCAGTCTGGCCCCCAAGATTTGGGGCCCCCCGGAATTGACACAGATACTGTGGAGTAGGGAGAGGAAGCCCTAGGCCTCCCACCCCAATGCTCTGGCTGCGTTGATCGCTTACACACAGGAATGAGAATTGTATATGTTTTATAAAAATTGAGTTTAACTGCTGAGTTCTAGAGGGAAATTATGAGGGTATATTGTACTAACAGGTGGTATTTTGTATTTAGCATGAATAGTTGTTTAAAATTGGGCAGTAAAATTGGTCTTATTCTTGTTACAAAAATAAGTTCTTTCACCCCTCTATCCGCAACTCCCCACCCCCCAAGGTTGGTAGAGGTTCATCAATATCATAGAGAATTGCAGAGGTCTGGACCCTCTGTTAATTAAGATTACTTTTGTATAGCTGTGCAAAGTCAGACCTGGTTTAAAATCCCATCTCTAATACTTGTTGCTACCTTGGCCTTGAATAAGTCATTCCCAACCTATAAAATGAGAGGTTTAGACTTGCTACTTTCCAGTTCCAAATCTGTGATCTTGATTTGCAATTTAACTGCTTCAAAGCTAACAACAGTTTTAATCGAGAATTTATGTGTTAGATTTTCCACTCATCTGTTTCGTTGTTGGGCACATTAGAGATAATAGAATTTGGGGCCAAAAGGGATTCATCTTTATTTTACAGGTGAGAAAACTGACCCTGGATGATTAAATGATTAAATTAGCTAAGATGTCAAGCTTGTTGTAATGGGAGGGAACGAAAGACTTGGAGTCAAAAGATCAGGGAATTTTGATGCTAAAATCATCCACTTATCTGTGCAGCAATTCACCTTTGTTGGTTGGGGGCTAATTTGGGCTAGATGAATTACAAGGCCCCTTTCAGCAACACTTTTCTATGATTCAGACATTGGAATCCAGGTTCTCAGATTTCAAACCTAAATTTCTTTACCCCACAATTTCTGGAAAGTATCGTGCACTTTAAGTTTAAAATGTATGCTGACACTTAATACAACACATATGTACATGAATTCTTTAAAGATTAAAATATAAAATGCCAAGTTGATCTCATTGGCCATAGTAGTTTCAGGAAAATAGACTTTTGGTGGATTTTACTACGTAATTTTCCAGGTATTTTGGGTGGAAATAGTGTTTTCTAATGCTGGATTTATTTTGGGTGAGCATATTCTGCAGTACTTCTTTTGAGAATTGTTCACATCGGACAGTGGCACAAATATAGCACTGGACCTGGAGTCAGGATGAAGAAAGTATAAATGTAGCCTCAGACATTAGCTCATGACCCTAAACAAATAATTTAATCTCTGCCTCAGTTTACTCAACTGTAAAATAAAAATAATAATCATACTTAACTCCCAGGGTTGAAATGAGATAATATTTGCAAAGTGCCTAGCAGAGTGCTAGCACAAAGTAGATGATTAACTAAGACTTATTTACTTCACATCCACTGACCATTTATCCATTGAGAATGGCTTTTGATCTTACAGTGTGTAACTCAGCTAACATTAATTAAGCATCTGCTGTGTGCCAGCCACTATATTAAGTGTTAGAATTACAAAGAAAGGCAAAAAAAATAGTCTCTCAAGGAACTCACGGTTTAATGAGGGAGACAACAGGCAAACAACTATGTACAAACAAAATAAATACAGGATAAAGGGAGTTATTGTGGGGAAGACACTAAAATTAAGGAAAACCAGGAAATGCTTCTTGCAGAAAGTGGTACTCTAGCTGATACTTGAAGGAAGCCAGGAAAAATAGGAGGCAGAGATAAGGACTGAGAGAATTGGGGTAAGGGGTGGGATGGAAGTGGAGACAGCTAAAATGCCTTAAGTCTGGATGCGGCATGTTTAAGGAAGGGCAAGGAAACCAATATCACTGTATCTCAGAGTATGTGGAAGAGAGTAAAGTGTAAGAAGACTAGAAAGGTAGGAAGGAATGTGTTATGAAGGGCTTTAAAAGCCACATAGAGGATTTTATATATTTGACCCTGGAAGTAATAGGGGAGTCACTGGAGTTTATTGAATAGGGGAAGGAGACTATAATCAAACCTGTATTTTTTAGTAAGATCACTTTGAGAGCTGAGTGGAAGATAGAATGGAGTAAGGAGAGACTTGAAGCAAAGAGACAGACTATCAGGCTGTTGCAGTAATCCAAAATGAGGTGATGAGGGCTTATACTAAGGTGATGGCAATGTCAGAGGAGAGAGGAGGTTCTGTAGGAAAAAGGTTATGAAGGTCGAAAAAGCAGGACGTGACTGATGATTTGGATATAAGGGGATGAGAGAGAGTAAAGAGTTAAGGATACCACCTAGATCTCCAGTTTGTGTAACTGGGAGAATGGGTAGTACCCTCAACAGTAATAGGGAAATTAGGAAGACAGAAGGGTTTGTAGGGAAAAATAATGACTTCAGTCTTGGACTAGTCGAATTTAAGATGTCTTTGGAACATCCTGTTTGAGATATCTAATGAGTTGGATATGCCAGACTGGCATTGGAAGAGAGGTCAGGGCTAGACAAGTACATCTGAGCATCAATTGTATAGAGGTGGTCATTGAAAGCATGAGAGCTAATGAAATCATTTGTGTTAGTTCCATGTGTATCTTGGATATCAGACCCTCATCAGAGATACTTATGGTAAAGATTTTTTTTTCCTATCCAGTTTCTTTTCTGTCCTGATATAGTTGCATTGATATTCAGCTCATGAAAAAGCTTTTTCATTTCATGTCATCTAAATGATCTGTTTTGTCTTTTATTATTAACTTTGTAGCTACCTAATCTGGTTCTCTTCTAATTTTTTATATGATCTTTAATAAGGTGAATACAACTATGTAAAATTCACTTTAGTGAACTTCAACATCAAATTATAATCTATTGTAAGGTCACATAAAATGAGGTTGGACTAAATAATCTATAAGATTTTACATGTTAGAAAACTGCAGTTGACAAAGCTGAAGTAACTTGCCCATTAATCGTAGTGAGGTCTAGGTAAAATCAGGACTAAACCCAGGGTTCTTGACTCCCAGTCCAGTCAGTAATCTTTTATCCATAATTGACTGCCTTTTGCTATATTCAATTTAAACTCTCCTTCCAAGGTAGATGACATATTTGAGGATGAGAATAGTTTTTTATTTTTTTATTGAAAGGCACTTTTTCTATGTAGGAATTCTAAATATTTAGTGATACCTCTCAAAAGTGGTTTTAATTAGTGATAGCCTAAAATTTCTTCCCCAAAAAAGACATTGGTTTTTCTGTGTGTCTCTCAAATGTTCTTTCCTATTTAGAAAAGATAATACTACATTTGGTTATATTACATAGCTCTCTTGTTCCCTATCTTCTAACTCTGGCAAGTATAATTTATTATTTACAATTTTAACACCTTAGCTGTGATATTTTCCATGATGTTATTATGTTAAGCCTATTAAAAAACCATTTAGCTTTTCTATGTAATGAGAAAAACTGAAACTCATAATTTGTCATTTGAACAAATAAGAATCAGGCTGGTCCTGAATATTTGGTGAAGTTCATCTTATTTTCTACTAAGATGTAAAATATTACTATTTACTTCTATAATTGTGCAGTGTTCCTCACTAATAGTTTACAATTTAGAGTGGTAGGCAACTAGCTATGGTTTTTTTTCTGTTTTTAGTATATAATAAAAAATAATTTTCCTTTCAGTGGAAACAACTGTGAAATTATAGTCATAGATGATGGAAGTCCAGATGGAACACAAGAAGTTGCTAAACAGTTGGAAAAGATCTATGGGTCAGATAAAATTGTGAGTTACATTAAACTTTTTATATTTGTTTTAAACTATATTCCATTTATTTGAGGGAAGTGTTGATAGTAACTTAATTTACAAAAATTGCTAAAGATAAAAAAGTTTATAAGTAAGTGAAAACCACCTGGGATGTTTTGTTTGCTTGTTTGTTTGTCTGTTTTTTAGTTTGAATGAGCATGTTTGATTACACAAGTACAATACTTCATGTAGAAAAAATTCACTTACCACTGTGCATCACAGATCTTTATGCAAACTGTATATTTTCATGACTGATTATACTCCTTTAAAGACGCAGTTAAAAAGCATTAAATTTGTGACATTTAATTTTTTTTTGTATGGAATAATAGATGGATGCTATGTTTTCTTAAATCTTCACTTCAGCTTTTTATAATAGAGTGTATTTTTTGACCTTTAAAGCAAACTGCCTGTGAGATTAGTTACTTTAATGGTATCATAGACGCTTTTTAAGCAGTAATGATAGAGTTCTATGCTACAGTGTTCAGTGTTGATTACAATATTAAGTGACCGATATGCTTTATCAGCTGTTATACAAATATTTTAAAAATTATCTGTCTCCAAAACATTTAATGCATGTTTACATTGGAGCTATTTTAATAGCTTCCCATCTGTTATTCCTATTAATAAGGATCTTAGGGGCAAGCTAAGATAAAAACTAAGATAGTTTTAAATTTTGAGGTTGTACATAAAAATATACTGTTTCAAAATTCATATTACAAGTAGGTGCTTTACAAAAAATGATTTGAGATTTAATGTATGGACTTGTCCTCATATTTTATAATACCTTTCCACATTACCCGACTTTTGGAAATACCTATTTTATCCACACAATAACTTTTTGAGGTAACTACTGTCCCCATTTGAGAGATGAGGAAAGGAAATGATTTTGTCTTAGGATCACATAGAGTGACCCAGAAGGTCGTATTACAGTTTTAAGCTATTAACAGCTGTGTAGTATCAGAGTGAGGGCTAAAACCAAGCTCTTTTCATGAGGTAGTGGCCATGAAAATTTTCTGTTTATTTATGGCAGTTAACTTAAGTATCCCTAGTGTATAGTTAGTATAAGGATAGAAAATGGACTTGTGATTTCATTAATATAGAAATGCCCAGCCCCCTTGACTAATACTGTCAAAACCTCTACAATATATAATCTGGGTAACTGTGAGTTCCCTAGGTTCATAGTATGATAGAAGCTAGACTTAAATCCAGGTCTTCTTAGCTTTGAAACCAGCTTTTTATTACTGCACCTTATACTAGCATTGTGAATTTTATTTTAATCTTCCATGTAATCCTCTAGAACATAATAAAGAGAAAAACTTTCAAAAGGCAATGTTTTCTTCAATTTCAAAGTAATATGTAATTTGGGGTACCCTCAACTCCAAGTTAAAGTGCTAGATTTACATACTCAGGCCTTGTAACTTAGGTCTTTTTTTTCTTGGTCCTTTATGTTAATGAAGTTTTACTCCACTGAATTAAGATTCTTAAAAGTCTAGAATTGTGATAAATAAATTATACTTAAAATGCCACAATAAAACTAATTGATAACATTGGTAGACAGGAGTGTACTTTTACTCCATAGCCTTGCTGTTTTATCAGGCTTTGGGGGAGGGGGGGCTGGGCAGTGGGGTTAAGTGACTTGCCCAGGATCTCACAGCTGGTAAGTGTCATGTATCTGAGGCCAGATTTGAACTCACATCCTCCTGAATCCAGGGCTGGTGCTCTATCCACTGCGCCACCTAGCTGCCCCTTATCAGACTTTTACTATATGTTTGAGGACATGATTTTACCAGTTCACGTTTCGCTAAGTACCTACTCTGTGCAAGGTGGTGTTCTAGGGGCTGAAGATACAAAGATTAAAAACAAAGCAATCCTTGCTCTGAAGGAGCTTTAATTCTGCAGAAGTTGGGGGAGTGGAGGGGGCCTTTACACTGGTCATCACAAATCCCTTGAATTCACTCCCTCTTCATAACCTCTGCCTCATGGAAACCCTTTCTTCTTTAAGATGTAATATAAGCACCACCTTCTAAATAAAATCTTTCCTTATCTTGCCCAACTGCCAGTGTCCTTCCTCCCAATCTTCCATGTATTTAACTGTATATTTATTTATATTTGTTCTTTGTATTCTGTATGTGTATACATACAGTATGTGTATATATATATATATATGTAGAGAAAGATATACGTATGTGTATCTCTAAAGGCAGTAGACACAAATACAGACACTTACTTGATTCCTTCATTAGAATGCAAGCACCTTGAGAGTAAGGATTGTTATATTCTTTGTATTTGTGTCCCCAGGGCCTTCACATAGGAAGCATTTAATAAATACTTATTGTTTAATAAGGTAGTGGAAACTGATAGCATTGTTAAACTACTAGAACTTAAAGATTTTAAATGTGAACTTCATTTGGGAAATGTCCTTAATCTTAAAGTTTAACTAAGATGATTAAAAAATTAAATTAAATTTAAAAAAAATTAAAACAATTACATAGGTGCTTAATAAATTTTTGTTTAAAGAATTGTTGAGGGCAGCTAGGTGGCACAGTGGATAAAGCTCTGGCCTTGGAGTCAGGAGGACCTGAGTTCAAATACAGCGTCAGACACTTACTAGTTATGTGACCCTGGGCAAGTCACTTAACCCCAATTGCCTCACCAAAAAAGCAAAACAAACCAAAAAAGTTGTTAAAAATTCAATAATTAGTAAAAGCCATGAAACAATACAATTTTATTTTTGTAATTTAAGAAAAAATACAGTAGAGATATTTTGTTATCTATTTCATGAAGTGATGACTTAAATATGTATGAAAACTAATCACTAGGGAAAGTTGAATGTATGACAAATAAGATTAAAGCTAGAATTAAATTCAGGTCTTCTGATTCCAGTCCTGTTGCTCATTTCTGATATGCAGTACTTCCAGTCATGAAATAGTGCTTTGTTAGGTCTCAAAATAAATTATTAACAGCAAAAAAAACCACTTTTCTTGCATTCATATCATTGATAAATTTTACCTTTTTTGCATTCATAAATAAATACCTCAGCAAATGTAGCTGATAGGGGCATCTAGATGCATTTTTTGTATAAAATTTGTGTAATTATTCATTCTTTTTTTTATTCATGGTGAATCGAATCTGATTTTTAATGCAGTACAAGAATAGTGATTCCTTTTGTCAAGCAAATACTATTTAGCTTTTTTAAATCTGTATTTTCAGATATCATATTTGTTTGTCTTGGAAAAACCTGTGTATCTTGCACTTTTAAAGCTTTATAGGTTTAAAATTACTGGTAAGCACAGAATTCAAAGAATTTGGAACAGATTTGTTCCATTTCTCTCTTTACTATAAGAATTGTTTATATCCAAACCAACTATTATGGAAGTTGTTAGGGAAAAGAGGGAACTATTAAAAATATCTACTACCAGAAGACAGCATTGCAAAACCTGTGGTTTTCCTCATAACTTCAGTTTTGCATATCCTAAAGAAAAACATTGTTTGGTCAATGGTATATTGAAAAATGAAATTGCATACTGGTTTGGAACTCATACAGACTCTAGAAGGTCCTGAGAATTAAAGAAATTATGTGTCCTTATAAGTTCTTAAGGTCAGAGACTTTGTCTTATTCATCTTGGTATTTCAAACACAAAGTATTTCATAAATATTTAAATGAATTGCGTAAATGAAGATGACCTACAAGAAGTATGCTGTAGTGAATTTTAGGACAGTTAAAAGAAAATACTGTATTACGCAGTGGATAATAATCATGGAATTCATTTTACACATAGGCAAGAAATAAAGGGATTTAGACATATTTATGAATGGTAAAGCCACAAAAGACAGCTTCTAAGAGAAGCAAGCCAACTGTTAACATCGGTGACAGCCATTCCTTCTTACATCATCTGGAGGCTAATGCTAGGTGAGAGAGATGTTGACCCTGTCTGGCATGGTAACTCCTATGTTCCCAAGATCAGACTTTATTTTAAATTAAGTGGAATGTGCCTTTACAGGTAGCCCTATTTATGTGTATGTGATATTTAATCATGTGTTATCCTTTCTTTATAAAGATTTTGTTGAAAACAACACATTACATAACCATAAGTAATAAAAAGTTTTTAAAAATTGCTTTACAACTTGGAAAATACAACATATGGGATTTTCATGTTTTCCCTCCAGTGTATTGTAAAAGGGTTAAATGTCTTTCTGGTATCGCAATTGATTACTTACAATCATTGACTTAATTGTAAACTGAGTTTAATTTTACCTTCTATTTTGTGTTTACAACCTTAAGTAGACATTTCATTTGAGCTTCCTCTGTCTCTTCCTCCCTGTGGCAGAGTAGAAAAAACAAGAACCAGTGCCTCAGTACATTACTATTTAATATTTATTTGCCATACCTAAGTACAAAAGTGTGGGGTTGTTTCTGGGTTGTGTTTGTTTGTTTGTTTTTTTAAGAAGCATTTTAACTGATTAGTGTGAATTTGTGAACAGTACAGATGTCTGATGACTTTTTCTTACTCTTTCAGCTTCTAAGGCCCAGAGCTAAAAAGCTAGGACTGGGTAAGTAGTCATTAAGAAAAATGTCTTAACTTTCATGCCTGGTACTTCTCACTATGAGATTATACAATAGGATTGTTTTTTTCTCATTTGGGGACTTTAGACTGGCTAGTTAATAACCAATTCCTAATCAAATTGAAATGATTTAATTTTAGCATATCTTAACTGGTAATCCTGAGAAGAGAAAATTTTGAATATTATGCTTTTTTTTGCAGTTTTTTCTTAATATTTAGTATTGTGCTTTTAAAATACATAATTTAAGGCTTTGGTGGGGGAGTAGTTTTAGGGGCATGATTTTAATTTATTGAGTAAAGATTTTTTTGTGGCTGTCTAAAGACCACTGTCAGCCTTTTCTACCTCAAGTCAGTCAACAATCATTTAAGTGCCTACTGGGGATACAATGAAAGCATTGGAAGTGACTAAACCTGGAAGTAAGGTAAAGACAAAGACATCTAAATCTGTATCCCAGACATTGCACCTATAACTGGTATAACTGGTCAGTATTACTTTCAGAAGAAAGAGTGCTCTGTTTGGCAGGTGTTACCTATCAAAGGCTGGTTTTGTTTGTTGCTTAAAAACTGAGAACTAATGGAAAGAAAGAGAAAATTAAAAAAGTGGCAAAGATTTGAAGGGTGATAGTCTTAGAGGTGGTGAGCAGATAAAGGTTTGATAGAAAAGAAGTCAATTTGTAGAGAAAAGAAAGTCAAGTTAAATAGTCAGAGGACCAATAGTATCTTAACCATGTAACCCTTGGGAGTACAAGTATCATTTTTGCTTTGTACAAAGATTAAACTTGTTCAGAAGTTTTATATATGAATTTTATTAAAATATGCACTGAGTTCTTGCTTTATGTAAGTGGACCATTCTGCAGTCCTTTATGTAAAATGCTTTTACGTAATGTAAATTTGCCTACACACCTGGGGAAGGAAAGGGAGCCATATGCCATGGAGGGAAGGGGCCACATGGGGGCTGTACATGGACACAGGCAAGAGAAGATGGTAACACTAGGGCCTGGGGATAGACATGCTGTGTCATATATGTACAGAGGGACAGAAGACATCAAATAGGCAGAGTGAAGCAAAGGTCTCTCTCAGTTTCAGAAATCTCAAGCCAAGCCCTTGATCTGATAGTGGTGTTAGGGGGTTTTTTTAAGGTTATTTTTTGGGAAGGACTAGGGAAATGTTTCCCTTTTGGTTTTGTTTTTTTGTTTTGTTTTGGTAGAGGAGGAGGGAGGGAGGTAAAGGAGTGCCAAGCCAAGGGTCATGGGGTGGAGGGGTGGGGGGGAGGAGGGCTGATAGTACTCCTGGTCAGTAAAGTTAACATAAATCTTATTTTGGAATGTGGGTTTCTTTCAGAATTCTTTATATGAAGCTGAATTTGCCCAATATGAATTTATGTAAAGCAAGAACTATGTTCAATATTACACTGAAATATTTTACACTTACATTCTTTGTATGACTCCTAAATGAAGTTAAAATTTTAGACTTTTACATTTTATTTCTCTTTACTTAGGATTCCATAGTCATGTAAAATAATGGAATGAATGTCTTTAACTCGGATGCTTAAATGGATCTGTGGTTTCAAAAAAAGAAGTATTATCTCCAGCACTGTATTACATGACCCATCCATGGCCCATCCTAGGTGACTGTTATCCAAGGTGGTTGAGGGCCTTCCTTGTATTCCTTGAATACATTGTATGAATTCAAGTAGAACACATTGACTGTCAGTTTCTCACTCTTTAAATATGTAACTAGGCCATAATTATTTCTAATCATACATTTCTCTGATTATCAATCAACAAGTGCTTATGTTGTGCTAAGTGCTAAAGGTACAAAGAAGGCAAAAGCAATCCCTACCATCAGGGAATTCACATTCTAATGGAGGAAACAATATGCAAACAACTGCATACAAACAAGATATATACAGGATAAATTAGACGTTAACTTCAGAGGCACTAATATTAAGGGGGATCAGGAAAAGCTTCTTGGAGAAGGTAGGATTTTAGCTCATACTTGAAGGAAGCCAGGAGGTGGAGATAAGAAGGGATAGTATTCCCGGTGGTGAACATTCAGGGATTTGGGAGGTGGCATGTCTTATGTCAGTAACATCAAAAAGGACAGTATCATTAGATCACAGTACAGTATGAGAATACTACAAAACTAAGTCTAACCCTGATTCTTTACCTTTGGAGGCAGCAGCTGGTGACTCATTAGATAAAGCACTGGTCCCGGAGTCAGGAAGATCTGAGTTCAAATCCAGCCTTAGACACTTAAGAGACTTAGCAAGTCAGTTTGCCTCTTTATCTCACTTTCCACAATTGTAAAATAGGAATAGTAATGACAACTCACTGGGTTGTCGAAGATCAGGTGAGATGATATTTATAAAAGTGCTGAGTCCAGTGCCTGGCATATAGTTGGCACTTCTCCCTTTCCTATCACAAAACTGCTACTATAAGTATTTTGGTGTATGTGGGGACCTCCTTGGGGTATAAGTGTATTAGTGGAATCTCTGGAGGAAAATAAGGATTCCTATTCTTCTCACTATTATTTGATAAAACTTTGGAAATGTTAGCAGTAAGACTAGAGAAAGAAAGGGCAGCTAGGTGGTACAGTGGTTAGAGCACCAGCCCTGAAGTCAGGAGGACCTGAGTTCAAATCCGGCCTCAGACCGAACACTTGACACTTAATAGCTATGTGACCCTGGGCAAGTCATTTAACCCTAATTGCCTTAAAAAAAAAAAAGAAAGAAAGAAAGAAAAAAAAAGACTAGAGAAAAATTAAAGGCATAGATAAGTTAAAAAAAACTATCCTTATTTGCTAATGACATGATTTACTTTAAAAAGCTGAGGGAATCAGCAAAGATAATAATTGAGAAAAATAATAACTTCAACAAAGCTGCAGAACACAAAAGTAAGCCTAAAAATATCAACAGCATTTCTATTTAATAACAAAATTCAAGACTTATAATAAAAAAGGAAATCCCATTCCAAATAACCACAAAATGCATAAATATTTTGGGATCAAGCTACTAAAGCACACAAAGTACTTGTATAAATTAAGTTACAAAGTACTCTAAAGTAATTTTTAGGGGCAGCTAGGTGGTGCAGTGGGTAGAGCACTGGCCCTGAAGTCAGGAGTACCCAAGTTCAAATCCGGCCTCAGATCAAACACTTGACACTAGCTATGTGACCTTGGGCAAATCACTTAACCCCAACTGCCTAAAAAAAAAAAAGCAATAAAATAATTTTTAAAAAAATTAAATGGCTAGAGAAACATTCATTGATTATGGTTGGGCCATACTAATATAATCAAAATGACAATAATACCAAAGTTAATAGCTTTAGTGCTATACCGATCAAATTATCAAAGGTATGCTTTACAAACTCAATGAAATAATAGGGGCAGCTAGATTTTGTAATGAATGAATAGAGCATTGGTGTTGGGGTCAGGAAGATCTGAATCCAAATCTGGCTTGAGACAGCTGTTAGCTTTGAGACCCTGAGCAAGTCATTTAACCTTACTGTATCTCAGTGTTCTCATTTTAAAATGAGCATGATAATGACACATACCTCCCCTAGTTATTGTAAGGATAAAATAAGATCATATTTGTAAAACATTAGGGCGCTATATAAGTGCTACCTAGCTATATAGAAAAATAAAAGATCTTAAATGTTGCTAGTAATAATGAAAAGAGCTAAGGACAAAGAGTAATAGCACTCCCAGACCTCACACTATGTTAGAAAGGAGCAGTCGTCAAAACTATCCACTGTTGGCTAAAAATATAGAGAAAGTAGATTGATCAAACAGTCTAAATAAAGAGGAATCAAAAACAATGGATCTCAGTAACCCAGTGTTGAACAGGGAAACATAAATTACTTAGGAAGGAATGCTATGTTTGCTTTAACACAACAACTTCTAGGAAAATGGAAAGCAGTCTGGTAAAAATTAGGCCTTAGACCAACACCTTGCACCATATTCCACAATATATTCTAAAGACATGAACTTAATATTGAAATCATACCATTAAAATTTAGAAGAGAATCAGATCATATATACCTCTCACAGCTATGGGTAGGAGATATATATACATATATATAATTTTATTAATTTTATTTATTTTTGTGAGGCAATTGGGGTTAAGTGACTTGCTCAGAGTCACACAGCTGGTGAGTGTTACGTGTCTGAGGCCGGATTTAGGAGATATATTCTTAACCAAACAAGTTAGAGATAATTACAAAAAGAAAATAAATTACAAAATCAAAATTTTTGTTTTCCTAAGATTGAAAAACTTCTGCAAAAGCAAAATTAACATACCTTCAATAAAAGGGGAAGTAGTCAAATGGGGAGAAAAACAACTTTGTATCAGATTTCTTTGATAAGGATTTGGTATCCTAGATGTGATGGACTTTAGAAACCAGACAAGATTTAAAATTTGATCCTAGAGGTGACAGGGAGCCACTGAAGTTTATTGAATAGTGTGGTATCGTGGTCATCTAATTTAGAAAGATGAGTTTGACAGGTAAGTGGTGGATAAATTAGAGTGGGAAGAAACTTAAAGCAGGAAGACCAACCAACCAGAAGGCTGTTGTGAGAGCCTGTACCAGGGAAATGGTGTTTGAGGAGAGTAGGGAGATGTTACAAAAAGTAGAATGGACATAACTTGGCGACCACAGATTGGATGTTAGAAGTGAGAGTAAGGAGTCAATGACACCTAGGTTGTGAGTTTAGGTGACTGGGAGGTTGGTGGTGACTTCTACAGCAATACAGAAGTTATGAAGAGGAGAAGGTTGGAAGAAAGGATAATGAGTTAGGTTTAGGCATGTTGAGTTTAAGATGTCTTTGGAATATCCAGTCTGAAATGCCTGAGATACAGTTAGAGATGTGAGAATAGCGGTCAGGAGAGAGATTAAGCCTGGATTAAAAAATACCTGAGTATCATCTGCAAAGAGATGATAATTTAAACCATTGTACAGAAGGAGAAGAGAAGAGGGCCCAGAATAGATC